TGATTATAGAGCTGATTAAAATGCAGGTTCCCAGCATCTTAGCACAAGTTCCTTGGGTGGCTCTGACACAAATGGGCCCCAGGACACACAAAGAAACTCCCCGCTAAGGGGCAGGGACAGAGCTGGCCAGGACAACAGAAGTTGCAGAAAAGAAGGTGGGGACACCAAGGCAGCCCCAGCTCCCCAGGAGACAGTGTGCCAGGAAGCAGGAGATGAGCTGGGCCCCCATACCATCCTGCTCCCATCATCAGCACTCCAGGTAGCTGTGGGTGGAGGAGGAACCCGCAACAGAAATAGGACACAGAGCCTTCATGTTGGCTGAGGCTCTGGGGCCAGCTCTTGGCAGGGCCAGCCTCCCATCCCCCCAAGCGCAGCTCCTGCAGCTGTTATAGAATGGCCCTCTCTCTCCTCTCCCTTCCCCTGTCCCCTCCCCATCCTATGGAATCACCACCATCTCCAACCTCCCACGCTCCTGTAAGCACCAAGATATTCTTACTAACAGGCACGGTGAAAACAACAGCTGTGGCCGACACAAAGACACATGAGACCCAAAACATTCACCCAATTCTCTTAAAACCTTACTGGGTCCCGAGTAGAGCGGCTCTGTGATCTCTGGGTCCTTCCTACCCTCGTCCTGCTCACTCCACACCCTGTGTCCAGGCACCACGGGATGGGGCAGGACTACCAAGCCCGCTCCCTCCGGGCCTCCTGCCATCTTACACACCAGGGGAAGACAACAGGTGCAGGCAGAGCGAGCTGTGAGAGCAGAGGGGCGTGGCAGGGCACATTCAGGGAGCCTGGTTTTGTTTCCTCCTCAGATCCCCCTCCTCCATCAAGCTTCCCCCAGCTCTGAGCCCTTGCTGCCAGCCAGCCCCTGCCCTGCCTCCTCTCGGTCCCTCATCCCCCAGGCTCCTACACCCTGTGCCAGAGAGACTGGGTATTAAGATGCACCCGGGAGTGCCTCTACACACCCTCCCCCACCTGCCACAAACCTACCCACGACTCAGTTAGCACTTGATCAAACGTTGTTCAATAAAAGGAAACAGTTTCAACAAAATTAGAAAGAATCCCAGCAGCCGTCTCCCATATGAAATCTTCCTCCCCGAACATAAATGCTACAAATAGCAGCGCCTTCTCTCCGCTCACACAAGCGGTGAGTCACGCAACTGACCGCATCCTCTCTCCATCATTTCATTTATGCATCTGGAACTGAAATTCCTCACTTAGCATTTCCCCAGCTTGCTTCCTGGATCCAACCCACCATTCAGTGCTGGCCAGAAACCGCTTTATTGTGGTTCTCATCAGTGGCTTCACCCCAGCTGTGTGGGCAGCGTCTGGCACAAGTGTCCTTGAGTTCGCTCTCTTTCTCACCTGTCCCTGGCTGCCCGCCCTTCCCTGGGAGAGCTCCAAGTGTCAACAGACACAGCCATGATTCAAGTCACCTGACAGGATAAGAGAAGAGATGTCACAGCATCTGCCAAACGGGACACATTATTGCCTGCATCTGTGCCCTCAAGGAAAGGCCCCCGGGCGGTCCAGGCAGATGGCCCTGGAGCTGTGACAGCCAGAAGCTGTCACACATGCCTCAGATGTCTCCAGTGAAACAAGGAGATGTCAGACACCCTTTTGGCTCAGCGTCAGAAAGGGTGCCAGCCCTGCCCTGTGCTTCAAGGGGGGCTAGAACATGTCTGAGGCTGACAAACGCTCAGCGCAGCTGCCCAGGAGGTGGCCATAACCCCATTCTCAGGAAGCAGAGGGGAGAGGAAGTGAGTGAAGGACTCCAAGTCCTTACTGGAAAAGATCTCCTGGCACCTGCCCCCTCCCACTCCTTAAGCCAGGTAAAACAGCTAGCAGGGGACCAAGGTGTTCTAAAAACCATCACAGCTTCTGTGCCCTCTTTAGCCACCTCTCCTGGCACATCCTCCAGAGCCGAACCTTCAGGGCCAGCTAGGGCTCACCTCTGCTTCAGTCAGGTCCAGGTCTGGCGACCCACACCCCAGGGAGGGGATGCTCAGAGGTCCCTGGAAGTGGAAGTCAGAGCACATCCAGGTACCAGTGTATGATGTGGCAGAGAAAGTCACTGCCTGGGACACCAGCATCCTACATGAGCCCCGGCTTCCAGAACTGGCTGCACTATTTCTCACCCAGCGGCGGAGGATAGTTCAAGCATTTGGGTCCCTGCACCAACACAGGAGACCTGGACGGAGTTCCAAGCCCCTGACTTCAGCTTCTGACTTCAGTTTCTGCTGTTGGGGCCAGTTGGCGAATCAACTGGCAGATGGAAAATCTATCTTCCCATCTATGTAACTCTTGCCTTTAAAGCAAATGCATAAACATCCTTAAAAATAAATAAGTAGGCCAGCACAGTGGCATATAGGCCCATCATTTCCTTGCAGCACCAGCATTCCACACAGATGTCAGTTTTACTCCCAGCTGCTCCACTTCTGGTCCAGCTCCTTGCTAACGGTCCAGGAAAGCAGCGGAGGATGACTCCAGCGCTTGAGCCCGAGCATCCACATGAGGGACCTGGAAGAAGAACTGGCAAATACAGCTCTCTCTCTAACTCTTTCAAGTAAAAATAACTCAGTCTATAAATAAGTAAATGGTCCCCGAGGACAGCTCTCTGGCCATCTCCACCCATCAGGTCCCTTTTTAGGTGTGCACCTGTCTCATTATTCCCTGGTGGCTTCCATGCCCATCCTGGCCCCCTTGGCCCTCTCTCCTATCCATCAGGAATAAAACCCCTTCCCCCCCAGGCCCAGCACAGGGCAGGAGGATCTCTGCCCTCCCTTGGCAAGTGAGATGGGAAGGAACAAATACTCACACCTGCTCCAGTGACTGGCATGCCAGGCTCTGATGCTTCTGGGGAAGGAGGGCTCTCCTTTTATTCCTTCTTAAGATTTATTTTATTTTTATTGCAAAGTCAGATATACAGAGAGGAGGAAAGACAAATAGGAAGATCCTCTATCTGCTGGTTCACTCCCCAAGCAGCCACAACTGCTGGAGCTGAACCAACCCGAAGCCAGGAATCTGCTCCAGGTCTCCCACGCAGGTGCAGGGTCCTGTGGGCCACCCCCAAATGCTTTCCCAGGCCACAAGCAGGGAGCCAGATGGGAAGCGGGGCCACCAGGACCAGAACTGGCACCTATATGGGATCCTGGCACATTCAAGGTGAGTACTTCAGCCACTAGACCACCATGCTGGGCCCCTTTGTTCCTCTTTTAAGATTAATTGGTTGATTGATTTGATTTGATTTCATTTGACTTGAAAGAGTTACAGAGAAAGAGATCTTCCATCTGCTGGTTAACTCCCCGAAAGACTGCAACAGCCAGCACTGGGCCAGGCTGAAACCAGGAGCCAGGAGTTTCTTATGGTCTTCAATATGGATGCAGGCGCTCAAGCCGTTGGGCCCCATTCCGCTGCTTTTCCAGGCAGGGAGCTGGATCAAAAGTGGAGCAGCCAGCGTCCATATGAAATGCCTGCACTGGTGGTCACCGTTTAACCCCTTACACCACAGTGCTGTCCCCATCGCCATCTGGCTCACTGAAGCCTGAGCTTTTGTGTGGCCCACACTGCGCTCTTCCCCTTCCGAAAGCCTCCCACTCCGTGCAGTCGCTATTTTATGGTTGAGTCCTCAGCTAATGGCCAAGAAGAAATGATTGACACCACCTATGCCCAATGCAGAGTCCAGTCTCCCTGGCTCAGATAGCCCCCTTTTCCCCTCCGAGGGTGTGGGAGAGGGCCAGGCCCTTCTTCAGAAGCCAAACCACATCAAGGCCCCAAGGAGAGCCAGGCTGGTGCAGGAAGGGTTGGAATAGGAGGTTCCCACCATGTCTTTGCCTGGAATCAGCTCTGCACGCGGTAGGCATGGGTGCGGCTGACCTTTCGAAATTCCACCCTACCTTGGGAGAAAGGTTCCTGTCCTCACGTCGACCAAGGCGGGCCAAGCACAATTAGAGGCCACCCGGCGCCAGAGGCCCAGGGAGCAGGCGCCCGGAGAGAAAGGCGGCTAATCCGCGACAGCTGGGAAGGCCCAGCTCCAGACCAACACAGCAAACAGCCCACCGCGGCCTACCGTTGGGGAACTAAGCTGTTGGCCTGAATGCACACGAGAACGGCACGGCAGAATACGCAGGGAGCGGAGCCAGCTCCCAGAGAACGTGTGGGGCTGAGGGAGCCCCCGTCCCGGCTGTCCAGAGCAACCCGGGACCGCAGACATCCGCCGCCTCGCCCAGACCGGAGGAAACCGAAGGAACGCAGCGGGTCCAGCAGGTGGCAGTGCCGCGCCTGCTCGTGACCACGGGGGCCTTGCCGTGTGCGGGAGCGGCCACCAGGGGGAAGCACGAAGGACGGAAGGCCTCCTCAAGGTGCTGGTTGCCTAGCAACTGTGCCGCACCGGGCTCCCATTTCCACCTCCTCTTCCTCCTCCTCCTCTTTCTCCTCCTCCAGGCCTCCCAGGTTATTTCTGGCAGAGCAGAGATTGTTGCACAAGGAGCGGCCTCAGGAATCCCAAAACTGCCTCTTTTAAGCCAAGAGAATCTATAACGGTCCCAGGGACCCCAAAGCCAGCCCTGAGCCCTGAGCCCTGGAGCCGGTCTGGCATCCTCCGTGGCCGAAGTGGGCCAGCCTTCCTCCCCGTCTCTACAGCCCCATCCTTCCTAAACAGGGTTGGAGTTGCCAGCCAGGGTGACCTTGGGCTTCCTGCTGCTCCTCAGCTGCATTTGAGGGGGTGCTGCGGGCAAGATAAGCACTGCCCGCCAGCTCTGACCTGCTGTGGCCCTGACTGCTCCCACCCCACCCTCTCCAAGGACTCTGTCCTTGCCTAAAGCTTCCCCCCAGTGCCCATGGCCTTGATCATGGAATTCTCCCCTTGTCCCCCTTCCAAATTGATAAGCACAACCGGAGAAGAAGCCAGAGGCGGTGGGTGGGGAGGGAGAATGAGAGGCAGACGCCAGACAAGGAGTGTGGTTATAATGAACGCAAAGCCTGTGCTGGTCTATGGGGAGGCTGCCTGTGGCCAGCCCCAGGAGGAGCCCCGCGGGAAGCCAGGGATTCAGGCCCAGCTCGGGGTGCAGAGGAGTCCCTTGGCTCTGGTGTCCATCATACGGGCATGTGCAGCTCATTGTACTCGTCCTGGCCGTCCTCGTCGAAGTTGGGCTCGGCGTCTTCCGAGTCCAGCTGCAGAGGCAAGCGGAGAAGGGCAGAGTGGGAGAAGCAGGGACACAGCAGGCTACTCCCCGCCCTGGCCACTCCTGTTGCCTCTTTCTGAGGGGACCATGACCCCAAGTTGCCCAAAACCTGCAGCCCAGACACAAGGCACCTGCTGATCATAACATTTGTCACAAGGGTGGAGCGGGTCCAGCAGGTGGCTAGACCCATGGCCACTCCTGCTCCTGCTCCCCTGGTCTGCCACATTTCAGCATGGATGCCCTTCTTCCAGCTGCTAAGGGGGACAGGATGGACCCAACGCCCCCCTGAACCTTAGGTGCTTTTGCTCGGCCCACAGCCCGCACAGCTGAACTTACTCTGTCCCAAACCATTATACTGAATGCACTGCCTGGATGAGCACTTAATCTTCCCGACAGCCCAATGTGGCAGGACCCCCTCTCTCCCCTCCAACCATGTAACCTGCCTAACATCACACAGCCAGCAAGTGGCCCGGTGGAGATACAGCAGCCAGGTCTCTAGCTTCAGGACCCACCTGACTCAACACTGCCCACCCGGTCAGAAGCCCCCTTCTCTTACTGCCTGTAGCTCTCTCTCCTGGAAGAGCCGGGGCAACAGGCAACGCCTCAGAGGCACCGTGAGCAGCAGCAGGAAGGGGAAGGCAAGGGAGGCCGCCGTGGACTTGACCACCCAGAGCAGCACGATGCAGGCCAGCTGGATGCAGGTGAACAGGTGCATCCGCCACGTCTTCACCTGGAGGGCAGGCATGGGACCTCACCACGTGGAAGCCCAGCCTGCTCCCGCATCCCAGCCATGCCACTCTGTACATCATGTGCACCTGCAGCCCCAGGAGCTCCCCTCCCCACCCCCACCCCGTGCTTCCCGGCCTGACCTTGGTCACATAGGGCTGCTCAGGGTGGTGCTTGGCTGGCATGAAGATGAGCAACAGGCGCTGGGAGAGCTGGATGCCAGACAGCGACGTGACACCCATGTACAGGAAAATGCCAAAGAGGACAGCCAGCGGGATGCGACGCAGCACCGCCCCCATGACGATGGACAGGCCTGTGAGAGTGACACAAACCCAGCCGGTCCCTCAGGCAACCCGCCAGGGTGGACACACCTGGTGTGCCGCAGCCAGCCCCATGAGGACGGACGGGGCTGGGGGCAGCAGGATGCAGGGTCTCATTCCCATTTATAGAAGGCGGGGAACCAGGGAAGGGCTGGGAGGAGGCTCCAGGAGCACCGGGCAGCAGGGCCAGAGGGGGCGCTGGCCTGAACGTGAGCACATTCAGAAGGGAGTGGGCAGGCGTGGGACAGAGTGGGCCAGGCTGTAGGCTCCGTGGTGGAGAGGGGCTGCGGGGCCGCGGATGGGGTGCGGGGAGCAGCCGCGCTCTCACCCACGAGGCTGGCGATGAGCACCCCGGTGACCCGCTGCTCCCGCACCTCCTGAATCTGGGGTTTGTCGCCCGGTGCGATGGCAGTGCGCATGACGGTGAGCGCGTTGACATGGGTGACGGAGCGGACAGTGGCGGCGGTGAGCCACGGCAAGCCAAAGAGACCACAGAGCCCACCCAGGGAGCCGATCAGTAGCAAGTCAAGGTGGAAGCCGGAGCCCTTGAGTAGCCTCCGGGCCTTCTGGCTGACAATGAGCCTGCAGGGTGACATGGAGAGGCGGGGCTGGGCCGGTTCCCTCTTTCCATCCCCTCCTCCCCCGCAGCCCCATTCCTCCACACTGGAGCAGAGCCATGTCCTCGCACCGTGGGCAGTGTGGTACTATCACAAACACTTGATCCTGGCTCTCACCCATCATTGTGTTGGGCGACACATGTGTGCCTGGATAACGAAACACACTGTCCCCGGCGCTGACATGTGCCACGATGCACGCAGGGGTGGTGACACTGTCCTCAGGCCAACACACCTGCCCCAGCTGCCTGCCCCATCCCCTCCTCCTGCTCTGACCTAAGGACCGCTGCACCCCTAGACCAGCACTATGCCCCTACCTAAACCCTGACACCAAGCCAAGGAGAGAGCCCAGCCCCTGCCCCACCCAGCCGGCGCCCAACCCACTTACGCTGTGATTTGTGTCTCCATGAAGATGAGGATGAGGACCAGGAGGGCAGGGACAGCAGCCGCCACCATCATCCAGGGTGGGAAGGGCCGGGTGCTGCCCAGGGGCGGGATGAACCATGTGCGCTTGTGAGGCGAGGTCACCGAGAGGCCCGTGGGCACCGTCAACTTCTGCGAGGCAGGGAGAATGCAGGGCTCGAGGCCGCAGCGGCATCCCCGCACCAAGAAGGCCCCTGTGAGTTCTCAGCCCCCCACAGCAGGCCAGGAGGAGCTGACGCGTAGACAGGTTTGGGGGAAATTAGCGTTGCACCCTTTAAAGTCACCGTCATGCCACGGGTGTGGTGAAAAGCAGAGAAGGGACACATCTCGCTGAGCCGAGACCCGGCCTCCAGCCCCACACCCCAACAGGTGCTTTGAAAACTCCAGGGGCTCCTCCTCGCCCCACCCACCCAACACTAAGCTGAGTTCCAGCACTGCTCCTGGTGCCCCCTTGCTGGCCGCATGTAGCCAGGGCTCACGCACCTGAGTGTAGGTGTCTGTGATGGAGTAATCCACCAGGACCATCACGAGGATGGAGATGGGGATGCCAAAATCTCCAATGATGCGGCGCGCCTGCCAGGAGGGGAAGGAAGCAGAGGGAGGTGGAGGAGGGGAGGGCCACAAGCACCTGCCTGGGACCCCTCTTTCTGCCCCTGACCCCTGCCAAAGGTGGCACCCCCCCACACTTGGGGGCACCACAGCCAGCAGCCACACACCTTGCCACCCAGGAAGCGGCTGTTCCTGAACTTTCGCAGGAAGAAGGCGATGAGGAAGGTCCCTAGCATGAGGATGAGGGAGAGCAGGGCTGTGTTGGGCTGGTTCCGGGGGCCTGGCGGACCCTCGGTAGGCGGCAGGGCACTCCCGTTCAGCTCCAAACCGGCCTCTGGAACTCCTTCCAGCGCCCCCTCTGGGGGGTAGAAGGGCAGCAGGGGGTGCTCTGTGAAGACCTGGGTGAGGATAACAAGGGACATCTCATCACCCACCCTAGTTTCATCACCAGTGGGACCCGAAGAGATGACAACACACATTCAGCCACAGCTTGCGCTTGCGCATGCGCACGCACATACACACAGCCCTCCAGTCAAAAGGACCCGAGGACCGTTGGTCCCTCAGCACAGAGGCCGCGTCTCTGGTCCATCACACAGCTGTGCTAGTGCATGCTCACTGTACAACCTCCTGCCGGCCACCTGCAGCCTTTAACAGGCATCCCTCCAGCTCTGACTCCCTTTCCTCCAGCTCCGACCTGGCCCAGGAGTCCCCATTGCCCCAACAATGCCCTCCTCCCTTCTTGCCCTGTCTCCTGCTGTCCTACCCAAGGCGCTGCCCACCCCAATGGCTCTCCAGTGGCCACCTTGTAGAGCTTGTGGAAGGTCTCATAGATGAAGATGAGTGAGATGAGGAAGGCGAAGATCTCCTGGGTGAACGGCGAGATATAGCGCACCAGGAAGCTGCCCTCTGCGGCCACCAGGGCCAGCACGAAGACCACCAGCCAGAGGCCGACCCACACACGGCCAGTGAGGTACTCCAGCTCCTGAGCTTGGCAGAACTAGCAGGGGAAGGCAGCAGGTCACCCACAGCTGGTCTGCCCTGCTGGCTGCTGCCTTGTGCAGCTGCGGGAGGGGTGCCTACAGGGACCCATCCGCCCCTCCACCAGGCAAGCAGGGCAGCGCACGGACCAGACTCTCACCTTGAAGAAAGCCTCTTCAAAGACCAGCAGAGGCCCAGAGAAGCCCACCACCAGCAGCGGCTGGGCCCCCAGCAGAGAGAAGAGGACGCCCAGCACAGCCGTGGACACGATCAGCTCTGACACGCCCATCAGCCCTTCTGTCTTCTCCCCTGGGGTGGGCATGCTCAGTGGCAGGCCCTCGGCTCAACCAAAGTAAGCCGACGGCCCCAACAGCAGCAGGGTAGCAGGAGGGCCCCCTTCCCGTGGCAACCCTCTTCCCTTCAAGAATGATCCCCTGGGTACCTCCCGGCACTTGTCTCAGCCTCCTTACTTTATAACCAGCACCCTGGCCCAGACACCCTGCAGGTGACAGGGGCCCTTGAAGGACCCGGAGGAGCCCCTCACCTAGCAGCCCCCCGAAGGTGATGGCAGGACTGAGTGCAGCGAAGTAGATGAAGAGCACAGCTGCCACGCACTGCGAGTGTAGGGCGTCCCGCAGGTCGCTAGGGTACTGCGGGTACCGGCGCTTCACGTCCCGAATCAGCCCCCCGAACACAGAGCCTGTCCGCAGGAGGGGGTCGTCTTCAGGGGCCACCTCAGAGCCCCCCATCTCCAAAGCCAGCTCTGGGGGAAAAAGGGAGCTGCTGGGACTCGGACCACGACCCCCACGCCTGCCACCTACCCAAGCCCAGCCTGCCTGGAAGGGGGTGTGTGTGTGCGCGCGTGCTGACCTTTCCCAGGGGCCAGGTAGCCGCCCCGCGTGGTCATCTCAACCTTGGTCTGCTCACGCTCCCGCCGCTTGCGCAGCAGTTCACGCTGGAACGCAGCCACAGAGCGCAGCAGGTCCCGGCCTTCTACCTCCGATGGGGGGATCACGATACTGCCATCCAGGAACTCGCTGATGGCGCTCAGCAGGTCCTGCCGGTCGTCCGCCTGGTAGGCAGCCTCATGAAACAGCTGTGGAATGGAGTGGAGGGCAAAAGGGGCCGGATCAGTGAGCCAGTTAAGGCAGAATCCGCAGCCACACCATACCACTGCCATCTACCAACACACATTCCCCACATGGCAGTCCAGGCCAGGAGCCCTGACCACCCCCCATACCCCAGGGCCTGCAGGTACGCCCACCAGCAACCCCTAAGGAGGCACCATGTGGTCCACCTCACAGGGGCCCCAAGAGCCATGCTGAGTGCACCCCACAGGTAAACAAGGGTTTGGGACATCATCACCCCTGGCATTGAGAAGCTATGGTAGGGAGTGACCCCCCCCTTTAAGGCCTACAGCCCCTCCAAAGCTCTGGTACTGGACTGCCTCAGTTACCTGCCACAGCCCCGCAGCCCCACAGCCCCGCAGCCCCGCAGCCCCTCAGCCCCATAGCCCCACAGCCCAGCAGCCCCTCAGCCCCACAGCCCCGCAGCCCAGCAGCCCTGCAGCCCAGCAGCCCTGCAGCCCTGCAGCCCCGTGAACCAAGAGCTCCCCCACTAACAGCCTCCAGAGCATAGCTCCCACCCAGGAGCGAACCTTAGCCACCCTTCCCTCCACGCAGGACCCCAGGGGAAGAGGTCTGGGAACCCTGGCTTGGGGCACAACACCAACCTTGTCAGACATGAGGGTGGCAATGGAGCGCCCCAGCTCATGATAGTCGGTGCTAATGTGGCTGGGTCCCAGCATGACGAACAGGAAGCGCACTGGCACAGGGACCTCCAACACTGACTCCAAGAGCACAGCCTCACTCAGCCGCACAAAGGCAGCCGCTGGCTGCTCCAAGAAAGGCACACAGCCTGGCGGGAGGGAGGAAAGGGGGGACAATGAGGCATGGAGCGCTAGGCAAAAGGGAACAGTCAAAGCAGACTCAGAAGTGGGTATCAGTTGGGGTTGGCATGTACAGTTGAGCAGGTTGTACACTGCATCAAGAAACCCCCAATGGGCTGGGAGCAGCGCCCTAGCATCTAAAGTCCTCGCCTTGAAATGTACCAGGATCCCATATGGACGCCGGTTCTAATCCCAGCAGCCCCGCTTCCCATTCAGCTCCCTGCTTATGATCTGGGAAAGCAGTCGAGGACGGCCCAAAGACTTGGGACCCTGCACCCCCACGGGAGACCAGGAGGAGGCTCCTGGCTCCTGGCTTTGGATCAGCGCAGCTCTGGTCATTGTGGTCACTTGAGGAATGAATCATCAAATGGAAGATCTTCTCTCTGTATATCTGACTTTGCAGTAAAAATAAATAAATCTCAAAAAAAAAACAGAACCCCCCCTCCCCCAGCTACAGGGTCCCTCCTCACTTCTATGTCATGAGACTGCACCTGCTGGTGCAGGAGCCAGGAGGGGGCCTGGCTGAACACAGAGGAGGTGGAGCTCAAGTCAAGCACTGCGGGTGGCAACAGGGGCGCCCAGCCCTTCTCACCCACGAGCACAACGGTGGCCTCAGCATCTTCGGGGATCTTCTGAAGCAGCTTCAGGCTCTTCCCCCGGTGGCCGTCTCCCCCAGGCATGTGGAGGGGCTTCTAAGGACGCAGAACTGGAATAGGGCTGGGACCCAGACCGCAGGCCATGGTAGGCCCTCCCACCCACCCCCAACGCCAGCCCAGGGCTGAGGCCCCCGCAGCCCCCACCCTCCCAGCCTGGGGTCTGCACCCCTCCTCGACACCCAATCCCACCCCCTCAGCCACGTGCTGGCACTCAGATGGCTCCCCCAGCTCGGCCACACCGCCCAGCTAGATCCCTATCCTTCAGGGACCTCAGCACACACAGCCAATCCCGATCTGCTCAGCAACTTCACACCAGACCCAACCCCTTCCCAGGCCCACCCAGTCCATGTCCACACGAGGTCACTGACCTCCCTGGCGTCTGGGTCATGAGGCCAGAGCGGGGCTGGCTCGCCCACATCATCAGCAACGGTGGGCACAGCGCCGTCGGGGCCATGACTGGGGGTTGGATGATGGTTTCCCAGGACGGAGTTCACGCTGGAGCTCGATGGGTTTCGGGGGAAAAAGCCACTGTCCTTGTCATCGTTGGGATGGCTGGGGGAAAGAGGAGAGGCAGGTTGATGGGGGATTGCATTAGATGAGAAGCAGACGGTCGGGGCTTCCAACAGCTACTAAAAGGAATGGCACCCTCATGCGCAGCCTGGGAGGGTCCCCCAGCCCCCCAGCCCACACCTGTGTTTCAGCAGCAATGTGCGCAATACACTGGCCCTGTCCTCCGGCCGGATCTGGTCCGACACAATCATGGTCTCCACCACCAGGTGCGCAATGCCAGGCAGTGTGGTTTGCTCCAAGTCCAAAAGGGCAGCTCCTAGGGGTGTGGCCAACAGAGGGGCATGGGCCCGTCCACCCACCCACTCACCGCCACCTCCCACCACACCACCTTGCTCTTCTAGGGCAGGCTGGGCGAGCCAAGTGCCTCAGTGCCTAATCAGATCCACAGCTCCATGGGCCAGTACTAAAGACCTACTGTGTGCTGCATGGGTACTGAACATCTACTGGGTGCTGGGCACAGTACAAGACACCTCAGAGCTCACAGGCTGCTAAGGCATGGGATCTCCATGGCCCCAAAGGAGCAGCCAGATCTTGTCTGGGCTCAGGAGCCCAGGGGTGGGGGGAGGCAGCAGGGGCCAGGCACCCAGCCCAGGCTGAGCTATGTGGGGATGAAGGGGCCCAGCCCAAGTCCCCACCATGGGCAATGGTCCTCCTGAGTTCCAGCAGGCTGCGGAAGGACAGCGAAGCCACGTGGGGCTTCCCCCAGCGCTCTGTCTCCTCCTCCACATCCTCCTCAAACTTGATCCAGCGTGCTGTCTCCCGCCAGTGCGGCTCCTGGCTGCGATCCAGCATCAGCTCGTTCAGTTCCACGAACACCTGGATGCCAAGCACAGGGACAGCTGGGACGAGCAGGTCAGGTGCAGGACAGGGAGACAGGGCTCGGGGCAGAGGGCATACAGAGGCCACAGCCCCACACTCTGGGGTGCCACACCTCATGTGGCCTCCGGTCAGGCTGCTGTTTCTTCTTCTTCTGGCGTACCGTGGGGGCCAGGCCAGCTCGACTGCCCCTCCCACCCTGCACCCGGGACGGCTTCTTCACCAGATGCCGCCGCACGCCAGGATTGTCCTCCAGTCGATGGCCTGCAGGGAGGAGCGAGCGCCTGGTGAATGCAGGAGAGCCAGGCTCAGGGCCACCCCAGGCTCCTGCTCTGCCCAACCAGGCTAACGGGAAGGCACACACGTCACTGAGGGACCAGGCTGCCAGGACCACAGCCCACAATGTGGCTATCACAGTCGTCAGGAAGCAAAACTCAAGAAGGGAGAAAGATCAGCCAAGTGTCAATCAAAAGGAAGACCCCAGCTATACCTCCAGCTAGTCCCCAGCCCATCCCCAACCCTGGGTGGACCTTGAGGCCCTGCCACCGTCACCACCCCTCCCCTAAAGTCCCTGTAACTGACAGGTGCCCCAGGCACTAAACTCCCAGCACTTCCCATGGGCTCACCCAGTAGGTACATACCCTGCACACTCAGCAGGGCTCCCCTCCCTGCCACTCTACCCCTTGTCCCAGGCCGGCAAGTAGGCCAAGGCTTGCCACTCAGTTACTTACAAGCTGCTGCCCCCGCCAAGGGACTTAGCTGGCCCCCGGGCTGCCAAGGAACACAGTCCTCAAAGTCCAGCACAAACATCTCCAGGTCCTCAGAGGCCAGGGAACCTCCCGGGCTGGGGGCTCGATTGCCAGTGGGGCCCATGCCTTCGGCGTCTCCTAGCCCAGGGCTCAGCATCCCATTGGGCTCTGTGGTCTCCTCCATTAGTGCTGTCATTGTCCCGCGCAGTGGCCAAGACCTCAGTCCCTGCTCCTTACGGCTCTCCTGGGAGGCCAGAATGGTCTCCTTCCAACTGGAGCGGCAAGTGGCCAGCCCTCCCGACCCTGACTGACACCCCGTGTCCCCAAGCCTGCTCCTTGTCCCTGTCAACTCCCCCTGGGTCTGTAAACAGGTCCTCCCTTTGACCCTCCCATTCTGCCACCACGGCTGCTGCTGCCACTGCTGCCATCGGATTGTTCCTGCCCCTGTCCTCAGGCCCTGGCAACTTTCCATGACGTATTGAGCTCAAAGCCCTACCCTTCCCTCCCCCTACCCCACCCACAGCCTGAGGAGGAGGAAGAGAAGGGCAACAGGGCGGGACAGTGATGTGATGGCCCCGGCCTCGGCACGAAGCCCTATGCACGATGACAGGTGGCACAGAAGCCAGGGTACTGATAAGATGGAAGGAATGTACCAAGATCACAGCCAGGCCTGGCCGAGGAGGGGGCTGCAGGGGTAAGGAGCGCCTGACACAGGGAAAAGCAGGGTCTGGGTGAGCAGAGCGGCCCGGCTTTAGCAACCCTAGCTTGAAGGGGAGTCCAGACCTGGGGGACATAGGGAGAGGGGATCCCTCATTCCAGGGGTGACTCAGAGGACAGAGTCGGGCCTGCAAGGTGGAAGTGTCCCAAGGGCAAACCTCAGCTTTGGCAACCAGAGAGGTGGCTGTGTGGGGCAGCACTGACCTCACGCCATCAGCCAGGGATGCTGACAGGGCCCTGGCCCCTGGACAGGGGCTAGCAGACACTCTCAGAGGTCCCTGGCAGGCCAGGTGTCCCCACGGGGGCGTCCCAGACAATGAAGGTGCCCCAGGAATCACTCACTCTTCATGTCATCCAGGTCCGCAGAGCCCAGCATCCGGGCCTCCGCCTCATCCGTGGGCACCTGCTGCTCCGGGCCCCCCGGGTTGCCTAGGGCACTGCCTGGACACAGCCGCTCCCTCAAGTCGTAACTGGCCGATGGGCTCCAGGGCCGGGTCTTCTCCCCAGCCACCCGGGAGGCCCGGGTTCGCGGGCTGGGGGAGCTGGAAAGGCAACGAAGCAGCCTTGGACTTGACAAACTTCCCAGGAGGCCTGCAGCACTAGCCAAGGCCCTCCCGGGCACTAGCCAAGGCCCTCCTGGACAGAAAAAGAAGCAGGCCTGGCTCCCCACCCCCACCTCCATCACCCATCACTCCAGTCCTTCCCACCTCACTGGTACCCCTCCTCTGCCTTCATCCCCATCTTCTTCCTCACTCCCTCAGCTCAGCATCTCCTGCAGAGTAAGCCAGGTGGACAGAGAAGGCTCCCCTCTCTTTTCCTCTACTCTTCTCTCTGGGGTGAAGAAGAGGGTGACCTTGGGTTCTGCTCAGCTGGGGCCCAGGACTAGTACCTGACCAAGTGCTGCGGGCTCTTGTCAGGGTGTGGGCCCACTGCAGGCAGCGACCTGGCGAAGGTGGCCCTCCCAGCCAGGCGTGGGCTGTCATCCTCATCACTGCCTCCGATGGAAAACTGTGGATAAACAGGTGCAATCCAGGCCCTGCCTCAACTCACCTGCCCCCGTCCCACCATATCCTCACCCCTCTCTCCAAGGCACAGACGCTACCTTTGCCTTCTGGGGGGACCCTGAGGTTGGGGGTTCCACAGGTTCTGCCTCAGACTCCCCTTCCTCTTCTTCCTCTCCCTCCTCCTCTTCCTCATCCTCTTCGTCATCGGCCCCAGCTGCCCCTTCCTCCTGGATGGGAGGGGTGCCCTCCGAAGGGGGAGCAGAGGTCTTCTCCTTTTTCCGCTTCCTCCTGGAGTGCCGGGCAGAAGTGGCGGGCAGCCGCCGCAGTTTATGAGGTGGAGGCAGGCGCGCCGAAAGCGGGTGGTGGGTGTGGTGGGATGTGTGCCGGTGAACTGGGGGTGCAGGAGAGCCGGTTGAGGCCCTGACACAGAAGGGGGGCCCCTCCCTACCCCAGGGAAACACACCCCATTCTAGCTCAAGGCTCAAACAAGAACACCCCCAGTGCTCCCCACTCCACCCCTGCCCCGCCCGACAGAGTGTCCAGGCTCCTGTCACAGAGGAGGCCTGGTTAACATTGGGGAGAGGAGCGATGGAGAGGGACCATCATGAAATGGGGGTGGGGAGAGGAGGGCATGAGACAGCAGGAAGGACAAGAGTCACTAGGAGGGAGATAGGGCAGGACCAAAGACAAAGACGAAGGTCAAGAGGGGAGGCCCAGGCCCATTACCCTGCATCCACCCTATTCTGAGCCCCCCACCTCCCCGGCTCCCCAGCAGGTGGTCACGTGATGGGTGAAGGAGGCAGGATGACTTAACATGGCATGGTGGCCCAGCACAGAGTCCAGCACAGTGTCCGGCACGGGATGGCCCTGGGTGGCCAAGCCGGTGGTGAGCGCAGTGATGGGGGCGCGATGAAGGTGATGATGGTGAGGGCAGCCACACTAGGGGGGCCCGGGGGCTACCCACACGCAAAGTCCCGCTCGCTGAAGCTGCGGCTGGGTTTTTCCGGGTCCCAGGCCGGGGGTTTGCTGATGAGGTCCCCAAACCTGCTCACGGCCAAAGTCTTGCCCAAGTCATCGTCCTCCTCCTCCGTGTCTGGACTCAGAGGGGGCTCCTCCAAGGGTACCCGGACCTGCTGGGCCCAGACGGCCTCATCTAAGGACCCCAACTCCAATCTGAGCTGAAGAGGTGGGGAGGTCGACAGGCTCCCTCTTCCACAGCAACCCCTTTTCCTGCACTCCCTTCCCCCACCGGCCTGGGGCAGCACCCCAACAACCAACCTCTCCCAGGCTCCTGGGAAATACCAAGCCCGTTGCTTGGAGTGCCAAGGCTGGCCAGAAGACGAACCTTGCGCTCCTCTGCACCCCCACCCCACCCCCGCGCATCGGTCACCTGGGGTAGCGGGGAGGCGCCCCCGGGCGGCGGGATCCGTCCATTGGCCATGGTCAGGGACGCGGCTTGGGAAGCTCTGGCTCACGAAGGAACCCGAGACCCGGGTGAGAAGAAGGGGGCGTTGCGGGGGCCTAGTAGAGAGTCCTGGGGGAGGAGGAGGGCGGGGTCAGGATCCCCGCACGGGGGCTCCCCCCACTCCCGGCCCAAGCGCGTCCCCGCGGCTCAGCCCCTCCCGGAGGCGGCCCGCACCCCGCGTCCCGCCCCACCCCACCGTACCTGGGGGCTCAAGAGCCTGCAGGGCCCCGGCCGATCGCCGTGCCCCATGTCCCTCCCCGCTCGCTCCCAGGCGCGGCCGCCGGGCTGCCGTCCGGCCTTTCGCAGCGCAAAGCCGGGCGGGCTCGGGCGGACGCAGGCGCCGGAGCCCGTAGCCCGGGGCTCCACCTCCTCGCGCTCGGCCCGCAGCTCTGCCGCCGCCGCCGCCGCGGGGCCGCACAATGGGAGCAGCTGGGCCGTGACTCACCCCGCCCTGGCCGGTGCGGGGCCCCAACTGCCCACACGCTCCTGCTCCAGGGCGCCCCACACGTTGCTGGAGGCGGGAGCTCGGCCCTACATTCCCACAAACCCCCAAGTTCATCCCCTGCCTCCCCCTTCTCAAGCACCTTTTTCGGAGACCTTTCCTTCCCCTTAAGCTCTGGAAGGGACCTCCTCCTCTTTCTTGGGACCTGAGAGCCACAGGAAGAAGCACCTGGAAGAAGCACTGGCCTCATCCCTCAAGGCCTGGCCTCTGCAGCCTGGCACCGCCCACCCTGCGTTTGACCTTGGCACCGTCTACTACCTGCATCCCTGGGCCTCAGCCTCCCCCATCCGTAGCCAAGAGGAGCTTGTGTTGGGGGTGTTCTGAAGTTGCGAGGACCTCTAAGATTCAAAGACTCAGTTCCCACACTAACTATCCTGCCCCCTTGAGGTTACACCTCATTTTCAAGGGCAAAGGTCTTTGGAAGGAGGCTGGACCCCAGGCTGACCCCAGCCCTGGGCACCTAGCACAACCTCAGTTCCCATCAGTCCCTTGGGGAACACCTGCTGCAGCCTTAGGCAAGCATGAGGGGGAGCAGCAGGAAGAAGTGAGGTTGGAGCTGCAGGTCAGGATGAGGTGGAATGGCCTGGCCTGGGATCAGACACACACTCTGGGAAACAGCAGCAGAGGATGGGGGCCAGGTGTAGAGGAAAGAAGGCAGAGGCAAGGCACTGTGACCTTGGCATGCACCTTATCTTCCCTGAGCATTTGGCCTGCTCAGCCCAAGGAGAGAACTTCCTCAGTGCAGGGCAATCCCAGGGGATGGAGGGATGGGAGCCAGCACAGCTGGCCACCAAGCCCTGTGCTGGCTAGGCCCTCCCCACATCCCTGCCTCTTCCAGGCACCGGTGTGCTAATCTGCTACAGCCACCGAGTCTTTGCAGTATTGGTGTGCAGAAAGCGACTGTCCCAGCCACCACCATGTCGCTCACTCCTGCAGACCAAGTTCATAGCCACAGCCATACGTCCCTGCCTGGTATCATAGGTGAAACAGGACACAGAGGTGGGAGGCAGCTCCCCAGCAGGTGGTCACATGATGGATGAAGGAGGCAGGATGACTTAACATGGCATGGTGACCCAGTACAGAGACCAGCACAGTGTCTGGCACAGGATGGCCCTGGGTGGCCAAGCTGATGGTGAGCACAGTGATGGGGGTGCAGACATGAATGCAGAGTGGGCCCCCAAACTCACAGGTGGGATCTACTACTAATCAGGGAAGGATGTTACCTTCCGAAACAGAAGTCTTCTCTCTCTCTCACACACACACACACACACACACACACACACACACACACACACACTGCTACCTCAGAATATACCTTATTTAGAAGTGTTGTCACAGACAGTAAAGAGACCAAAGGTGGGCCCTGGTCCCCTAGGCTGAGTCCTCACCCCAAGAAAGACCAAAGATGCAGGTATAGTTCCCCCAGGACCCTGGGAAAGTGGCCAGTCTGCAAACATTCACCATGGCTGAGCCAGAAGCTGGAAGAACAGCTCACCTGGCCCTGAGAACACTTTGATCTTGGACTTGCAGCCTCCAGAATCATGGGACAATACATATCTGTTGTTAAAGGCACTCAGATTGGGGGTACTTCTGATATAGCCACTCTAGCAAACTGATCTATTCTCCCAACCCACTAACCCTAATGCTGAGTCAGGTCACGTGGCTCCCAAGTCTCACTGTGACTGTGACTTTTGGCAGGGTCTCTTTGCTTCTTCCAAGATCTCTCCGGACCTTGGAGCCTTTCCCAGCTGAGCACATGGCAGAGAAGGATCTCTAGTCTTCAATCTGCCCTGGACAACTTGGTCCCAGCACCTCTCCACTAGCTGGGGGTCGGACAACAGCTAGAGCTGTCTGGAGCTTCAGTCTCTCCCCTTGCACTACCTTCCTTTGCCCTTGACTTGCCAGGGGTGATGGAGTGAAATTACTTCCCAAGAGCCTATAGAAACCCATGCTCACCTCTCCTGTGAGGACAGATGTGGGAGATGCCGACACCCTCCCATTGCAGACTCAGGCTTTCAGAGGTAAAGGTGAGGACTTTCCATTTGCCAGCTCAAATCCCCCTGGCATCTTGCCTTCACTGCACACCATTACTGTCAATCCCCTGCAGTGTATTCCTCATGGGGTCTTCATTCCCATGACAAAGAGTGCCCTCTGCATACACAGAGGATGGCATCTCCAAGCTTAGACCCTGCAGACACTTAACTGGTGACAGGAAAGGTGGCAGCAGAAGTAGAAGCTAGTTCAGGCAAGGTTGGGACTCACGCTCTGCCCTCCCTCAGTTGCTTTGACTTGACCTTCGCACCCTGCACCTTAGCATCCCAGGATGCTTGTCTGGCGTAAGTGATATGCCACCCAGGCTTGGAGAAACAAGGACGGCATTGCCAATGTTCCCCACCAATGGGCCAGGAGTTTGCTGGGTGGCTTCCTCTGGCAGCCAGTCCCTGGAATCACTGTCTCAAGGTCCAACGTGTTGGGAACTACACCACGATGGCATTTATGTGTCATCTGTGGCATTTATGTGTCATCTGTGGCATCTACATTTTGGTCTTGCCCCATATTCTGAGATCTCTCTTGCCAAGGAAGAAGCCAAAAAACACATGCCCTGGCTCCCTTGCAGCTAGGGTTCAGCTGTGGTTCACACCACTCAGTCTCAACTATACAAAGCCTCATTCAGAAGCAAGCAGTGTGCACCATGGAGCAGCATGAGAAATTGGACCCTCTGCCAGGAAGGGAGGGGAGGGGAAGGGAAGGGAAGGGAGGGGAGGAGAGAAAAGAAAAGAGAAAAAGCAATCACCTTCTCTGGTCTTTCTAGTTTGACTGGAACAACATTCTAAGATCCAGATCTCTGGCCTGTCCTGCTCCTTGCTGGACCCACCTGGGCAGGCAGGCTTGCTTTGACTTCTGTTGTGTGCAGGAATGGGCAAGCAGGAGAGAAGAAATTGCCTTCAAGCCTTCCTGCGCTTTGTTCATTCAGAGCCAAAGCCTTAGGGAACAGAGGTGAGTTTGCAAAAGGAAAGGGAGGGGCCCGGTGCGGTGGCGCAGTGGTTAAGGTCCTCGCCTTGCACACCTGGGATCCCATATGGGCACCGGTTCTAATCCCGGCGGCCCCATCGGCTTTGCGCTCACTTGGGAAGTGAATCATCGGATGGAAGAAAAAAGGAAAGGGAGAGGGTTAGCAAGAGGGAGCTTTGCCAACTGGAAGACAAGGAGGTCCCCAGCCCCGTGGGAGGAGCCTTGAAATAAAAGGTGGGTTGTTCTGCAAATATTGTCAAGTAAGATCCCTGAATAACCCAGAGACTGACACATTCATTCTAGACTGCATGCCAGGCATGGGTTCCAACTGGCATGGCCCCTGTCCTCAAGCAGCTCACAGACATGCAAACACATAACATCCAAGGCAAAGCACAGTTAGGAACATTCAGGTGGCAGGGAGGTGACAATGAAGCAAAGACCCGAAGCCTACACAAGACTCAGCCATGCAGTGAGGGGTGGGTATGGAGCAGCGGGGGGATATGGAGGGAGAGCATTCAGGGCAGAAGCAAGGCAGGATCCAGTGTTTCTCTACTAGGAAGCATTCTCCCTGAAAATAGTGCCATAAGAGAACAAATAAGAAATGGGTGGGTAAACCAGGATGAACATTCTAGAAGGCCTAGTAGACAATGTAGTTTAAGGAGAAAAGCACAAATTCTGCCACAGCTGTAAATGGTGACCACATGATGCCATGGCTCAATAAACTAGTCCTCCACCTTGCATGCCATATGAGCACTGGTTCATGTCCCAGCTGTTCCACTTCTTATTCAGCTCCCTGCTTGTGGCCCAGGAAAGCATTAGAGGATGGCCCAATGCCTTGGGACCCTGCACTCATGTGCGAAAACTGGAAGAAGCCTCTGGCTTCACAGCAGATCAGCTCCAGCTATTGCAGCCTTTTCGGAAGTGAATCAGCAGATGGAAAACCTCCTCTCTCTGTCTTTCCTTATCTCTGTAGATCTGTCAACTAAAAATAAAAACTTAAATGGCAACCACACATCTCGTTCAGGCTGGCCAAGCTAAAGGCAAAGAAATGATTGGCACACAAACTGCCAACAATGCAGGTGTTTGCAACTGGCTAGTGCTTGGATATCCTCTTTCTGGAATCTTCACTCCTCCTGGCTGGCTCCAAGGAAGTACCTTGAAAGCAGGAGCAAGTCTAGAGCAGCTTTGCCTCCCTGCCTCAGAACCTGGCACCATTTCGAGAGCTTTAATAAATGTCTGTGGCTTTGGAGACAGGTACAAGAGTAATTATAGTAACTAATAAACTGAAGAAGTTTATGTGGAAGACAGAGAAGGCATGGACCCGAAGGGATCCGATGACAAGTGATGGCCCAAGCTCGCTCCTGTCCCCTGAAGTGTCCCTCTAAAGCATGCTGGGGTAGCAGCCACTCATAGACATGTGGCTCTGAGGCAATGGCTTCCCCACCCAGTGCCTGCCAGGAGCGTTCCTTGACCACAAAGCGGCTTGTGGTTAGCAGGCTATTGCTTGTTTGCTTAGCCAGTACATGTGTAATGGTTCCCAGTTCACTCAGCACATCCGTGTCCATGGGGTCACTCAGCTGTTCTGTACAGGTAGGTAAGCTATTGGTGAGTTTTACCCTGCCACCGTGGGATGGAAGCAAGGGAAGTTGTGTGCCTGTGGTCAAATAGCCACAAAGCTATGACACTATCCTGGATCTTTAAGATCCAAATTCTCTGTGTCCTTCTCCTACGTCACACTGATACCACTGATGCCAGATACCACACAAGCCCAGAGGCAGGGAGGCAAAGTGGGACATGGAACAATG